TTCACGGAACAATCCCATTATCATGGAGTAACGTTGTCTCACAAACATGTTGAAACTCCCTTGTACGATTGTCTATCTCCTGACCCAGGTCTGAACCACAGCAGAGTTTCAACATAACATTTGGTGAATCCTTGAAGAGTAGCACACAAGCCATAAGAAATAGATGACGTTAAGGGAATGCTGTGAACAAAGAGATTAAAAGATGCACTAAAAGAGAACATGCGATGGAAAGGAAGCAGGAGAGAGAAGAATCCGGCATGAGAAGGCCCAGAATGAGAGGGGAGCAAGGAGGGAAAGGGAAGAGACAAGAGATGTCCATGGTGCAAGAGGAGTGGAGAAGAGAGGCGCTGTGAAATGTGAACACGCATCTGCCTTTCTGATTTTAAAGAACAAAATAGGCAGGTCAGGATGTCTCAAAAACGGAACATATGTACAACTGCCGATATGAACCATGCTCTATATTAGATACAGGAATGGGGGAGCTCTGTGACGCATGGTCCAGCAATGTAATACCTCGTAGGCTTCCTTACGCCCAGCCCCACATCTAGTCCATCAGAACCTGCATTTTAACAAGCTCTCCAGGGGGATAGCTGGTGCGGCACACGGAGCCTGGGCCAAGTTCTGGCACAAGCAGGTGGACCACTTGGAGCAAATCAGGTCCTGTTTCTGGATGACCATTTCCTTATCGGCAAAATGAGAATGTCAGAGTGGTGGCTTTGCCACGTTACAGACGCCCTGACATTCTTGATCATATCTAACAGCAAAAGCCCACATCCTTTCCAGGCTTCCCAGAACCAACCACAAACAGCATCACTGACTGAAGAACACTTGACCTCCCCTGCCACTTCACTCATTCAGTAGTCCTCTGCAGATTCACTATACGCCAGTCACTCGCCAGCAGAAATGATTCCAAGGCTAAGACATCGCTTGCTGCCCTCCAGCAGCCCACACTTTCCTTGGCAAAACAAGGCTTAGGAACCAAACAGGATAAAGTTTGCTAAGAGGCAGGAACAAGTGCTGTTGAAGCACAGGGGCAAAGCAGCCAACACTGCTCAGCACTGCCCTGGAGGACTTCAATAAGCGAGCAGCCTCTGAGCCAGGGCCCGTTCTTCCAATCTCAAAGTGCAGCTACGTAAACAAGCCAAAGACAGGTTCACATCCACACAATGGCTTTTGTGTCAAAGCCACGGACATTCTTTTAACAGCCCCGGTGAACATCAGAAACCACCTCCTCTGAGTTATGTCCATGCCCACATCCCAACTACCTTCTGTTGCTCTCTTTTCTGTAGCCTCCTGAAAGATCCTATCAATTCAACCATTAATTTACTCTCCCTGGAGAATTTTTATTTCTTGTGGTCACAAAGAGGGGATGCACTTTAATCAATGTGGACAATTCATTAGACCAGTAACTCTTTGGATCTATAGTTATTTTACAGAGAAAGATGGTACTAGTCTCCCACGGTATGCATAATAGCAGAGTGCAGGTGTTTTTGAAAGGAGAAAAATCTCTAGAATTCTTTGAGAGAGGGCAGGGTGGCAATGAGGAAAAGAAGCTTAAGTTTCCCTGCTCACCCATTCTTGACCTGGACAAGCTAGAAGATGAGTTCTGTGTCAACATTATTCATTCTTAAACAGAAGGCATCATTTGGAACAATAGCTCCTCTCCCTTCAGAAAGGTGAGCTCTACACTGACCTCTGTCCCTTCCCTGGCTGCTGGTGCTAAAAATGTCCCCCCTGGTTTCTCCTCCCTTTTTCTATAACTCAAAGTCAACATATATTAACTAGATCCTTGCTTTAATTTGTTAGCAGTGGTAGACATATCCCCTCATTTTCAAATTCTTGAAGCCGAAAATAGTATAAAAAAGAAAGAAAAGGAGGGACACTGCAGCCGGGGCTAATCACACCCAATGGAAAGTGGAGAATATTTTACAAGTTAATAATGTGAGTAAGCGCTAGGTCTGCTCTATCCTGTCGACCACCCCGCCCACCAACCAATTTCTACCCATGTGTCCATCACCCCACTCCGGGCTGAGGACATGCAAGTGAGGGTCAAGGAAGATGGTCCAGGTTTTAAAGCCCTCTTTCTGGAGATGAAGTAAGAACACCAAATCTAGGTGCCTGCTGTTCACCCTTCCGCCAAGGCAAGTCGCTCTTCTCAGCCTACAAGACGAGCATTTGATGTGCTAAGTAGTGTCTAGAGGAATTATTTTCTCTCCCCCACCCCTTCCTTTCCTGGCATTTTGTCTCTTCTCCTGCTTTCTCTGCCTGCATCCACCCATGCCTAAAATGGCATACATACAGTGGTAATGCAAGACTCTTCCTAGCAATGGAACCAATGGAAGAGGAGGGTTGGGGAAGGAGGAGACAATGTAGTGACACACCCTGATCCCCTCTCTCTTCACGTGGTAGCATCTCTAGCTAAGCTGCCATATCACCCAGTGTTCTCCGGTCCATCACGCTTGGCTCCGCCTGAATCACAGAGACAGAAGATGTCCATGTTGTTGCGCTTCCCCTGAAATCACCAACCTAGCATCCTTAACGATGCTTTCCTGGGAAGTCTCTATTTCCCATGAATCCTTTTCTTTCTTAATTGCACATCATGGAGGCTCCATGGTTGAAATCACATTTCCTCCTTTTCCTACCAGCAGCCCCATGGCTTTGCCACAGAAACCCATGCGGTATGGGGAACAACAGAAAGAGAGAAGGCATAGCGGAAGCCAAGCAGCTCTTTGTGCGGTGAGGCAAAGAAGAGGAGATAACAACGTCCCTGAGAAAGTCCAGAACATCGTTGAGTCCCAGTCTCACACAGACGGCTCACCAGGGTAGGAAGCACCCGCCTCTTCACCGGGGTCTCCCAAAGGGCTTTGGATGTGGAACAGGTCCAGACCACCTGTGGCAATTCCTTCAATCCTAACAAGCCCCTTTCCAGTTAGATTGCCTCTCCTTCCCAGTTACAGGGTTCCCATCTCCCTTTCCTCTCCTTCCTCAACACCTTCCTCCCAGTAGTACCTCTCTCCCATTGCCTAGTTCTCAGGCCAACTATTGGCAGCCAGAAACCAGGCTCCGTCCCATTGGCTGCGAGGTGAATGAGGTGGTTGAGACCCTGTGGAAAGGGCACCTGTCAACCTTGTCACTAAGGAACACCTTCCAAAGCACCTACTCAGTACCGAGCACTCTCCTAGGCAGCACAGATGCAAAAGGGACACGTGCCCTAGCTGGATACCCACCACTTCCTGCAATCTGTTGGCATGAAGTCATGGCGCATGGAGCTGCTTGTACCACCCAGGCCCCTGTTCTATTTTGAAGCAAAATTAAGAGTACACCCCCCCCCCAATTTGAAAGAGTAGAAGCAGATGGAGAATCAGCTCCAGAGTCTCTCAAGGTGAACACATGCCAGATAACCTCAGCTATTTGGAGAGGAGGTGAGAACACGGTTCACAAGGGGATTCTACCCTCTCACTCTGATTACACAGTGGTTACGGATGGGCGTTTAAGCACTAAAAGCTCAAAAGACTCAACATTGATGGGGGGAGGGGGGGTTGAATTACACCCATTCTTTCTGGATCATGAAGAAGGATCATCCAATGACTTTTTGAGTGATAAGGACATTCCATTAGGGCGCCCACCTCCCTCCCGTTCATATTTTGGAATGTTTCAAAGTACTGCCATTAAAAACGCCCCAAAAATTTGGGAGGGAGAGGCATACTGTTAGAAAGACTATTGATGCTAATGACTGCGACCATTATTTTGAAGATCTTGATTTTAACCAGGATCCTAGCAGAGCATGAGGCTCTTTGGTCAGTGGGCCAAGGACAAGGAGCTGTCCCCTCACCTTCGTAGCCCTCCAGCTGGGGAAGGATAGGGTTTCCTCAGGAGTTCTCTTGGATTGCATGAGTGACGAGGTGAAGAGTCGTTAGCTAAGTCTTTCCCATTTCTCCTGCTATTTCTCTTCTCAAGTGCATTAAAATAATGGCTCACTGCATTTCACATGTTTTAAAGAAATGATGAAGGGGGGGAAAACTGAAAGTCTCCCTTCTATTTTGAGGGCACAAGACTAACACATGCAAACGACACATCTCTTTGTTTAACACAAAGACTCACGTGTCGAATTCTGCACCCCTTCCACATGCACAGCATTTTAGAACTCTGCAAGATAGCCATTTTGCAAGAGTGTGGAAGTAACAGTTTGCTTGGAGGATGTGTGGATATAAATAGATGTGTAGACAGAAGGAGAAATTTACAGCTCAAAAATAATAGCACACACCAAAAAATAATACAAATTAAAAGCAGAAGGTTGACAAAATTTCTTCTTTCCAAGCTCTAGATGTCAGTCCTCTTAACCTGCAGTCTCTTGTCATTCCAGGTGTTCTCTGACCAGCCCGATTCCCCACCTACACCTGCCCCTCTGCAATGGGCCTCCTGGGATCTCAGGGTGCAGTGCCAGCCCTTTAGACAGCAAGTGGATTTCAGGGCAACCACCACCATCATTCTAATCATGATTTTGTTAAGGGCTGGAGAGAATGGGAGACCCAGGAAGGTGAAGGTGGGGAAGAAAGAAAGAAGCCTGGAGACGGCTAGGGGTAAACCAGTCTTTAAAAAAAAATTAAGATTCCTATTACTCTCATAAAAATCGGAGCTTTAGCTCTGGGTGAATCAAATGCTATCTAACTCCAAAATCACACAGGTCTCCTGGTGATGTCCGCATACATATATCCCTATGCTACCAGCACCTTCCACCCTTACCATACTCCCACCCTTCCAGCTCCCACCAAAAAAAAAAAAAAAAGCCAAGACCTGTTTGATGAGCAAAGGAAAAGAAAGAACATGGGAGACAACCCCCCACCATGTAACAAGCCTTTTTCCTAAAACAGCCATAATTTTAGTATCTTGATTCTCTTTTTTGCCCCCAACAAAAAAGATATACTTGAGAGACCTAAAGAGAGAGATCAACAAGGAATCCCAACCCCAGGTGAGGAAAATTAAAACCGAATGTGCCCTACCTTGGTTTGTAGCAGCCAAACCTCTAGACGGACAGCTTAAGGGAGCGAGCATGTTGGGGATACCAGTCTCCTCTTCTCGCTTGCATATCCACATCAGAAAGAGGAAGGATCAATGAAAGCAAGATCATTAAAAATCCAATGTAGCGTGAATTTGGGTTTAATCTTGCGTCGTGAAGAGGTGCAAATTTAAAGGAAAAAAATTGATTCAGAAGCAATTCGGGGTAGGAAGAGCAGGCAGCTCACAATGCAGAATCCAGAGTAATTATTCCGTATGCATGTGAGGTTAGTGGCTGGAAGGTGTTTTTTTTAATGATTCTTCTGGCAATTATGGTTTTGGGGATTTTTGTAGCTTTAGTGGCGGTGGCTCTGTGTGGAGAAGCTGGGGTCCGGCTCCGTCCCTCCGTGGAGCATGGTCATTCCCAAAGCGTCCCCTTCCTAAAGGGGGGGGTGGGAAAGAGCGGTCAGGGTTTGATTGGAGTGTCCCCCGGAGGATGAGAAAAATGCATCCCGAAAAAGATGTCAAATCGCTTGAAGGAAAGGGGGGAGGAAGCCCCGCATTTCCCACCGAGGGCACGCGAGAATTGGAAACAGCTGGCACCGGTCTGTGCTTCAGAAAAGGTCTGGCTGTACCATTCCCGGGACAGGCATGGATGGGAGGTGGGAAGCTAACCTGAATGGGAGAGCAGGGCAGGAGGGCGGGAGCGAAGAAGGGAAGGTGGTCCGAGGGAAGGAGGAGGAGGAGGGAGGGAGCGGATGCACCAGCGAGCAGCACACACTCACACACGCCGAAGCACCATCCCCGCCGCACGCGCCGGCCGGGGCGGCCCCCAGCCCCATCTGCAGTGCCGCCGACCTTTCCGCCCGCTCTGCCCAGCGCCTCCCGCCGCGGCGCCGCCTCCCGCCCCCGGCTGGTGCTCAATGGGTTCTGATGGTGCACCGGGTGCACACTGGGCATTTCTTGGAAGGGGCACACTGACACGCGTGCACACGCGCACGCACACACACGCCCCCAGCGCGCACGCGCCCCCGCGCGCGCACTCACACTCACCCGCGCGCACACTCACCCCCGCGCACACTCACGCCGTCGCCGCCGCGCTGATGTGCGGCGCACGGGGCTTCACCTGCAACGTGTCGATTGGACGGATGGTCGCGGCGTGTGGCTCCGGCCCGCGGTCCCACGGCCGGGCCTCGATGAGCGGTAAGGGGCTCAACCCCCACCCCCTCCAGCAAACAAAGCCCCGTGAGAGTCCGATCCCCACCCCCACCCCCCGGGAAAGGAAAGAAAAAGGAAACCCTTCCGTGAAAAAGCCAGGTCCGGACGAGCAAGGGTCTGGTGGCGGTGGATTGTCGGGTTGAGCCCCACACTCGGGGGGGCTCCCCGTTCCACGGCTTCCATGCTTTAGCTTGCTGGCACCCCAAGCCCCCCCATGGAGACGCAGGACTCCAGAGCGAGTATTTACGTACCGGCTCCGAGCGCCTCGGCGATCCCCGGGTCCCCAAGGAGCCGCGGTTGGGGACGGAAGGCTTTCCTTTCCTGCCACGCGGGATTAATAATCCTTCTCGGGGCTGGGGGCTGGGAGGGGCCGGGTGTTGAAGTTCACGACTCTTTGCAAAGCGCAAGGAGCTGCCTGTGGACGCCGGCACCGAGGGATCGCGGTGGCTGGAGAATCGCGGTGGCGAGCACTTTCCGTAGAGCAAAGCCCGGAGATTTCCTAGAGGTGAAGAAGCCGAAGGAAGTGGGGTTTGAAAGCGGATGAGGGAACCTTCCTTTCTAGAAGAAGAAGGCAA